AAAAAAAAAAAAAAAAGTTTTTTGTTTTTTTTTATAGTTTATATAATAAAAGGTCGATACTTGGCGTCCGTGTATCGATACAATATCGCCACGCAAAATATCGTGATACTATGCTGTATCGATTTTTTCTCCCACCCGTATGGGACAGTGGAGGGACCAGGCAGCGCCTAGTCTGCCTGGTGGACTGGAGTGGGGCAAAGAAGGACTGATAGTCCTGGGAGGTTTTTTGGGCACCGAGGGCTTTCAAGCAAAGAACTGGGAGGGAGTGAAGGAGAAAGTGTGCACTCGGATTTCTAAATGGAAATGGTTGCTACCCCAGTTGTCGTATAGGGGAAGAGTTCTGGTTGCCAATAACTTAGTTGCATTGACTCTGTGGCACAGACTCATCGCTCTGACAACACCGAGAGGCCTGATTGAGGACATCCAGAGATCTATCGTAGACTTTTTCTGGTCTGGCAAGCACTGGGTCCGGGCAACAACTCTGTACCTGCCTGTTGATGAAGGGGGACACGGACTGATTGACATCCAGTCCAAAATTGCCTCTTTTCGACTCCGGACAGCTCAAGGACTGCTCTATGACTGTGGCCCAAGCTGGCTCGACACAGCTTGACTGCTGCTGAGGAGAGCTGGGTGGTTGGGCTATGACAAGCAGCTGTTCCTCCTGGACTGTTCCAAGCTGGGCCATCTGATGAGGATGACGGCGACATCGATGGGACGCCCTGAAAGACAACAGCAGCAACACCTCAGTCCGGCTGATCAACAGAGTGGAGGAAGTTTGTCCATACCCCAGAGAGAGTTTGCTGCAAACCGAACTCTGTGTGACCAGTGGTATGACTGCTTTGAGTACTGCTTCCCCTCTCTGTCCATCACCCCCTCTGTGGGGGAGTGGCAGGAAGGAGGAAGTCAGCTGCTCACCTTCACAACCCCGCACCTGGAAAAGTTCCAGGACGTGGGAAAAAAGCCGTCTGCCACACCTGTGTCAAGGTTGTCAACTTGCGCTCTTTGGCAGGGATGAAGGAGTCGAGGTGGACTGAGTTCTTTGGTCCAGATATTTCCCCGAAAGGCAGTTGGCGGTTGAAAAGCGGACAGCAGACCTCCAGTGGAAGGTTGTACACTGGGCAATAGCTACAAACAGGTACAGAGCGCACCTTGATCCGGTGCTGGGCGAGCGGTGTTTATTCTGTTCCCAGAGTGAACGCTGAACTGTTTGTTCAGTGTCCTCGGCTGTCAGCACTGTTTGAACTTTTAAAAAGGTGGTTCCAGGGTCTTGGGGATGTTTTTATGTTTGTTTTGTTTGTCTTTGGTCCCAAATACTCTGTTAAGAGAAAAACAGTTCACACGTTGGTGAACTTTTTGTCCAGTATGGCTAAGTTGGCCATTTGGTTAACACGCAGGAAACGGGCTCAGAGTACCGGCAGTGTGGAGCTGGTACCGGTTCTGAAGGGACTGCTAAAGGCCAGACTAAGGGTGGAACACACTTATTACAAAATGGACAATGTGACGGCCTTCAGACGCATTTGGGCTGTTGGGGGGGTTTTATGCTCCGTTGGAGAGGAGGAGAGCTGATTGCTCATCATAAGTTAAAAATGTTTCTGTGTTTGGATGAGTTGATTTTATTTATTTTTTTTGAATTGATGACGTGACATTGATCTGGTGTCTCCTGGATCAATAAAAGGAATTTAAAAACCAAAAAACCTCTCTTCTCCTCTCCCCTCCACTCCCCTCCTCTCTCCTCCTCTCCTCTCCTGTCTTCTCTCTGCTTGCTTGCATGCTTTAACACAAGGACCCGGAGGTGCAGTACTCCAGTCCCAACACAAGGGGGTGCCAACTGAAAGAGGAGGTGCTCTATGAGAATGCTGACCTCTATGAGAACATGCCCTCGTCCAAGCTGGACACTCGCTATCCTCCCAAGCCTTCCTCTTCTTCTACTTCGTCTTCCTCCACCTCTACCAGTCACTACAAAACCCCTGTTTCTAAATTCTCCTCTAAGTTCCTGGCTGCTGATACTAAAACTAAAGCTACTGCTCAGGTGACTAACACTCTGCTCCTTAATCACTGTTTTCCTGTTCTACTCTTGACATTCAAACTTTTTTAATAATAATTTATCAGTCTATAACTCTTTGTCCAGTGTTTTTCCTTTGTCAACATCTAATGTATAATTTAAAGTTAACGATCAGATAGCCTTATTTTTGTGTTACTCATGTGAAAATAACTACCACACACTTGACCTCGTCTTCTAAGCAAGAAGATTTCTTTGTATGACCTTTTCTGTGTGCTTTTATTTTGATGGAAGCACTGAAATATTAGGACTTGACTTGACATTACATTGCAAATATGACCAGAAGTCAAGGTCACTGTCACTGCTATAACTATGAAAATAGAACAGAGAACATATAGTTGGATACGTTGTAACCCATGGCTCTCGGCCTGATGGGGAATGAGCATCTGGGGAAAGGGGCTTTATTTCTGGGGTTCTGGTGTAGTGCAGTGGATATCCAGGCCAAGACTTCCTTCACCATGCACTGCTCATTACTTTCCGATTAGCAGCTTGAGATGTGAGACTGGAGTTGGAATCAGGGACAACGTGTAGAACTGGATTGTTTCACAAGTAGCAAGTTTACAATCTGATTTTAAACCAATAAAAAGTGTGTCTCCCAGGGAATTGTTAGACTTGGTGTAAGGGCTTTGTTAACACTCAGCACAAATTCTGTGTTTTGTTATCTGCTACTTTCTGAAGAGCCCTAATGCATTTTGTTTTACTTTATCTCGATATACCTCTCTCACCGTGTGTTGGTGAAGTTTGGCTCCATTCAAAGATGCATTCAGCTGCTTGAAAAGGCGACTGATAAACACAAACCTCTCTTCATACACAGACAAGAACAGCAGCATATAGCTGATGGGTCTATCACAGACCTGGCATTGTACGGCCCCCGGGTCATACCCGGCCCTTTGGCTGTCGCAGACCGGCCCGCGGGATGTCAATGGGAGATTAGGAATAAAATGTAAATAAGTGTACATCATGCACGGAATACAGCTGCATTGCTTTTATTTTGAAGGCGACTGTTGCTGTGTTTATATTTTATATCTCAATTTACGTACATTGGTACGTTCGTGGATGAGCGAGCAGGAGCGTCACTGCAATCCCAATAATGGCAGTGTCGGCAGCCGGAATTCAGGCGTAATTCATCCCCCGTCTCAGCCATGTTGGCAACCGGACTCGACCCGACGTGTTTCTTCCGGCCTCCGAGCTTACGCCGGAGCTGGGCCAGGTCATTTGGGCTACCTGGGATGTGTTGGTGATGCAGAGCGGACATGGACATCTGAGGCTTTTTAGCTAAGCTGCTAAAGCAACATGCTCAGAAGATGTTGGTTCTCTTTGGATCAACCAACATATGTGAACAAACATTCTCTGTGAGGAAGTTTAACAATCCAGATCCAGATCCTCTCTCACTGACGATCACCTGTCAGCTGTCCTTCACATCTCACCTCACACATTCAACCTGACTTCAGAGCACTCGTTCAAGCCAAACACACACTAGATTTCTCGCAAAAACAGAAAGTGAGGACATTGGACTACAAACAATAGTAATACAAGTACTAATTTTGCAGAAACATGATCCTTGTCAGTGTTTGACTATTATATATGAATATTACAAATGTATATTTGTTTGGATCATTATTCCTGCTGCAGATGTTTAAGGTGGAGCTCATTTTAACTCCTTTATACTCTGTTGTTCAGTTTGGGTAGTTAGGAAGGGTTTGAGAAATTATAATGTGCAAAGTAACTAGTAACTAAAGCTGCCAGACAAATGTAGTGGAGTAAAAAGTGCAATATTTCCCTCTGAGATGTAGTGGAGTGGAAGTACAAAGTTGAATAAAATGGAAATACTCAAGTAAAGTACCTTGAATTTGTACATAAGTACAGTACTTAGGCTTAGTTACATTCCACCAGTGATCATACTATTTAGTCTTACCACTCACAGCTTATCAAAACCATACAATTTACTGCTTCATAAAGAGGTGGAATAATATTGAGCAGGATTGAGTTCAGTCTATTGGTCTAGCCCTCCACAACAGTCCCTGTTTCTCATGTGGCCCCTTGGGAAAAAGAATTGCCCACCCCTGGTCATGTTTAAAGGAACAGCTTATTCCATGGTCAGATATTAGTGTTTGGGAGGCAACACAGAACCACAGACATCTTCAGGAGGCAAAGGAGAGAGGGGGAGGTTCCTCACTAAGTGCTCCAAGTATTATGAAATAAGAGAAGAATTTCTTCACAAAGCCAGCATCGTATGTCCAGAAATCGTCTGAAACACAAATCACTTTGAGAAAAAATCAGGAAAAAAGCTGTCTTGGCTCCGAAAGTCAGGCTTCATGTTGGTTTAATTTTGACGGATAGTCACATGTCGAAAGTGTGTCTAAAATGATAGACGCAACATAAAAAATATTTCCATATGATGGTGCAGCCATAAAAACAGAGTATTGTTCATACACAATATGTACAGTATGAGATACTGTCAGACATTTCTTTGAACTTCAAAGTCATGAGAGTTAAAAATGTTAAAAATATGAGAACAATAACTATTGATGAGAAACAATCCCTCTGCAGTTTACTGTGGGCTTCTACGACACATTATCACCTTATAAAGTTGTAGCAATATAACATGTCAGGAAATATTTGCTTCAGAGCAACATTCTCTTTCATGTGGAGTCATGTTTGTGTCCACCTGATGAATGTAATTTCAATAGCACCCTCACTATCACAGTGCATTCCTTCACTGAAATGTTGAATCTCCTGATTTACATCCACTGTGAAGAGGTGAAAGTGAGAGGTGATTGGCTGAGGAAAAAAGGAAATCCTGTTTATTATTCCTGCAGGAGCACTCTGGCTCAGTAGACAAGATGTTGATGTTGGCCACCCAAAGGGCCACCTCTCTTTCCCCTCAGCCTGTGAACCGTGTTCCTCCTCTGCTGCTGTTAGTAGTACTTTGATCATCACCGTGACGTGGCCTGAAATCATTCCTTTGGAAACATGCAATATGCACTTTAGCTCCAGTTAAACACGTTCCAGTCCAGATTTTTAGAGATGATACTGAAACATAACAACACTGAAATACTGATAGTACTTCTGTTTTGACCAGATCTTTGTTTCTTTGTGTGTTGCGTGTAGTATGTGTACATCAGAGTACTGTTTGGACTGTTTGTGTGCGGTTATCCCACATAGTGTAATTCCCTCCTCTCCTCGACAGTGAGCGTCAGCTGTGTGTGTGTGTTTTATATTATACAGCCCTGTTCTGAGTGCCACCCTGCCTCTACGGCCACATGTGTTACCGCATTGTGTTATGTGGAGCTCCACCACTTTGATGTGGGTGCTGTGTGTGGCGTGGCCAAGGGGTGTTGACATTGCCTCCAAGACCACAAAGTACCGCTCCACTATAAGAAGTAGATCCTCATCCAACGAGGCGTTCAACAGACTGCAGGCAGTCTTGATGTTTGGAGTTTTTAACGATAGATCCCTGCCGCTAGGAGGAGTTGGGTTAGGAGGATATTTTTATTCTTATTATGTTTTTTCAAAGTTTCCTGCTGTCTCCTTTTCAGCAAGACACACCCACTGACCCACGTTTCATTACAATCAAGGACATTCTGCAGACATTTTATGGACCTGTCTCACTTTTTAATAAGTATTATTATACAATCAGCTGTTGAATATAATGTGCTTTAGCAATATGAACATAGTTGCTGAGATTATGTATCCGGCTATAGGAATGTTTATGTTATTAAATTACTGTGGAATGTAGAATTTGAATTATACTCTGATACCTTTACCTTAGTCTGTAGCTCCATAATTTAAAGAAGATTTACTTTAATAAAAAAGCAAGACATGTGAAATATGAATATTGACCCCATATTCTTCGGGTATACACAATTTTCTTTAAACTGGTATTTTGTCCATGTTGTGTTTTTAGCTTGTTGTACTGCCCCCAAGTGTTAAAAGAAATACATGACTGCAGTTTAAGGAACCCATCTTGCATTTTAGAAAGAGAAAATAATTTAAATTCTTATTAGGGCCCGAGCTACTGACAACGTCGGGCCGCGAAGGCCCTGTTAAAATTGTAAGGGGTATTGTTATTATTCTGATCTATATTTTTACAATTTGGGAGTCTTTTGGGGGTACTTGCCATGCATAAAAACTCACCAAATTTTGGGGACTTGTCAGGCCTGGTGAAAATAGCCATCTGAAAAAGGATGCATGTCTCTGTGTGTAAAAATGGCTCTCTAGCGCCCCCTACAAGTCGGACCGGTGACGCCCCTCAGCCAGTATGTCCGATTGACTTGAAATTTGACACACATGTCCGACTCCGCTAGATCTAAAAAAAAAAGCCTCTCAGACCCCTAAGCTCTGCCTACTTAGATTTTCCGCCATATTGAATTTAGTGAAGAACACATATTTGCAAGCTCGTCCTACATGCTGAGTCTGATTGCTACCAACTTTGCTGTGGATCATTATTGGATCTAGATCATCGAAACTTATCAAAAGCTTTTTGATAGCTCTTAGCGTTTACAAGATATGGACCAATAAACTTCCTAGGGGCGTGGCTTAATATCAATACACATAACTTCTCAACCGTTTGTCCTAAAATTACAATATTTGCAGCATATGTGCACATCGCATGCTGTAACATACCCTGAGAATTGTTTTGCATTCAACCAGTAGGGGGCGCTACAGCAAACCCGCGAAATTGTGCTTTTTGTCACTTTTTGCCGATTTCAGCCTTCGTATTTTAACGAACTCCTCCTAGAGAATTTATGCGATCAACTTCTCCTTTGGTCAGGATGCTCTTAAGACCTTTGTGATTAAAAGTTAGCAAAATCGAGAGTTTTCATGGAAGAACCTTGACGTGGCGTGGCGGCCATTTTGCCTCATTGTTTTTGAAAAAATAAGTTCTTATAAGTTGTTATAACTCCAAGGTACATTATCCAATCCGCACAAAACTTATATTTTATACTTTTCTTTATTCCTCCTAGCCAGGTGATCTGATGAGTCTCAAATTTGGTACGGATAGCCTTAAGACATTGATGATGCATCATCATGAATATTGTGAGTTTTCATTGAACGCTGTTGCCGTGGCGACGCATCGTTCGCCATGAAAAAGGAAGCTGATGGTTTAGTGGGTTAAGATGCTCAAAAACTCATGGAACTTTGTACATGTGTCATAGGTCATAGGAAGACATAGTGTATATGGGTTTTTGGCTTGTCCGTTTTAAATTGCCTCTATAGCGCCCCCTACAAGATTTCAAAAGATCAGCCCCAGCGCTACGTTTGAGCTACATGTATGAAACTCGATAGCCACATGTGGAGACTTAAATATAAGTCTCTTGGGACCATGCTCTAAACCCTACCAGAAGTCGTCCAGTTTCATTTATGTGTCATTTTTCAATAGATTTTGGCCTATTTCTAGTCGCTATACTTTAAGGAACTCCTCCTAGGTACTTCATCAGATCAACTTTAAATTTTGTCAATACAATGACAACACTGTTGTGATTAAAAGTTATCAAAAGCTTTACGTTGGACGGAATCGTTTAGCCGTAGCGGGCGGCTACTTTACGTGATTCCCCATGAAAAAAGCTGATGTAACTCAGCTGGACTTTTTCCAAACAGTCCCAAACTTCACATGCTTGATAACACTCATGGCCTGAGGATGTTTACAAGCTAATTTCCCCTAATACTCACAGCGCCACCTGCTGGCGAAAGGAAATCTGGATTTTGTCATAAACACCTCCGATTTATATGACTTTTACACAATGTGGTTTACATTTGACACATGATGCATGTTTGCACACACTGCCAGGCAGAGGATACAGGAAGCATCAGACTATTTGCAAAGCATCATTTCCAGCATCAGGCGGTCGACGCAGGATTAAATCCGTCTCACTCGCGGACGCGCAGGCCAGAGTCCCGCCGCCACCCCCGACACACTGCAGATTGCGAGGGCCCGTTCATCGCTGCTCGCAGCTTTAATTTAAATTAACTTTTATTCTAATAGCCTAATATTCTAAGGTTAAAGTTGATTATACAAGTACCAGCTTTTTAAAATATTTCCTAAATTCTTTCAGATTCAGAATTATGTTTTAAAAGTATGAGTGTGTGCATAAAAACTAAATTTGACTTAGATTTTAAGTTTCTCTGAATATGCTTAAACACAGTTCCATTTATAGGCAGATAGAAACAAACACAACAAGCTAAACAAACAGAACTACTATGTACATACAAGTTGGTGAAAAAATAGGTATATGCTGTATATAAATGTATATAAAAATAAACAATGAGCAAAAACATATCTATATACCAGTCAAGTGCTTTGTAGATTGTAAGCAAGTCGAATACAAATCTATAGTCTTTTAAACTGCATCATATATCTTGTTTAGTAGTTTGATTCGGTACAATTGTTGGGACAAATTCTATGTATGTGTGTAGCTTTATTACAGTTAAGTATTAACTTTTCTGAGAGATCTGAAAAGTCTTCCTCCTCCTTGTTCTTCTCCAATCAGCTGAAGGGAAAGAAGGGGCCCAATGGGACGGCATCCAAACAAAAGACAGAGCCAAAGAACCAGACCAAGAAGAATGGAGTCAATGGGACGAATGGGACAGCTTCTCTGAAACAGAACGGCTCCAGTAAGTAGCTACAAAAAGAGAGTTCACATTATTTTCACTGGGGACTAAAGGGTTGATATCAGAAGAACTTAACAAACTAAAACAGTAAAAGGCAGGACAGAAAGTCAATTTTTGTGTAATTTGTAAATAATATAAAAATTGGAATAGCATTAAAATGTCAACGCAGACCACCTTTCCCAGTCAGCTGTCTTGTAAGTGAGAGTCCCAGCCTCACCTCCGCCAATTTCTTTCTAGCAAAAGTCCACTCCACAGCAGATTGGAAAAATGCAGGATGTCAAAATTACAGTTGGTTTAAAGAGGAATGACTTAAAAACCTAAAACCCACGCTACCCTCGAGACGATCCATGTGACGCATGCTGGCCAGACTGAAGCCTCCTGCCAACGTTGAGGTAACGCTCTAACAGACGTGATAGCAGAAGCCCAGATAGTTGGGAGACGATGACACTTTGTGTTAATCCGTGTGGTTCAGAATAGTATTTTCACTAACAAGGACCACGCCAATAACAGTATGAGTTTTGAGAGATTTATTGCATGGTGGAAAGATTGTTAGATTCAAGAAGTGGAAGGGGTTGAGGGATGAAATAGATATAGGGTAGGGGTAGAGGGATGAAGGGGAGTAGGGTAGAGGGATGATGGGATGTGGGGGTAGGGATGTGGGGGTAGGGGTCGAGGTAGAGGGATGTAGGGTAGAGGGATGAAGGGATGTAGGGTAGGGGTCAAGGTAGAGGGATGAGGGGTCGAGGGATGAGGGGTCGAGGTAGAGGGATGAGGAGTCGAGGTAGAGGGATGTAGGGTAGAGGGATGAAGGGATGTCAGGAAGAAGAAACGAGGAGGGTTCGTAGAAAGGAGGTTAGGCGACCGATGGGGGATCATTGATGTCCGGCAACTGGCGGGAACAGGGGGACTGGAGACTAGGTTAGGGGCCATCTCTTCAGAAGCTCTTGGGGAGCAGAGTCCTCAAAAGATAGCTCCATAAAGACTGATGCCGATGGCAGTTTCTGGAGTCGTTCGGGTTGGAACGAACTTATGAGAGGTACGTGGGGGAAGACCAACAATCGCGTATCTTGAGGGTGTGGTTGGAAATTCCTTGGCTTGAAGTGTTGGAGGTGGCGCCGAGTAAACTCGGGGGGTATTCTGGATCGGGCCAAGATATGGCGAAAGTGCTGGTGAGACCGCAACGGAAATCTTGCGGGGAGTTCGGCTGGCTGAAATTTGAGCTGAAGTAGTCGCGGATGGGTTCGTACGGACTCGAGTAAGAGTCTGGTCGGAAACGGTAGATGGGTTGAGGTGGACCGTATTGGTTGGTCTTGCGGCATTTGAGGTGATAGACGACTGTGTCGGGAGGATGTATGTGATGTCTGACGCGGTGGCATGTCGGGACGGATGGAGTTCAAGGTGGTGAACTCAGAGCAGCGAAGGAAGCTGGCAAGAACGTGGACTTTAATGCTTTGTCCATGAAGGGAGACGGATGACCTGAGCTGAGGGTGAGGATGCCGCAGGTGAGGCGTTCGAAGTGAGGGGCAGCCGTTTAGTGGATATTCCGAGTGGATGGCAATGGTCTTAATGGACCGTTCATGCCCCGAAAGAATGGCTACTATGACTATGGAATGCGTTTCGTAGATCGCGGAGGAAGGTGTGGGGGATGAGAATTCAAGAGGCCAAGGACCGATTGTCACTGTAGAAGCCGTCGAAGCTGATCGAGGGTGCTGCGTCTGTGAAAAGCTGGATGTCTTCGGCTTAGTGATGTGTTCGTCGTGGAAGATGGAGATGCCGAGAAGAACTGGTGTCAGTTTAGCTCGGTTTACGTGCTTCGTCAAGTGTGACTTGGTCATGGAGGTTTGTAACGGCGGCAGGGACTAACAGGATGTGTGGCAAGGAGGATTTGTTTAATCTATTGATTCTATTGATTTATTTATTTATTTTATTTTATTTTATCTGGTGGAGGAAAGCCGAGTGTTTAGACCGTGTGCTGGGTTTGAAGAAGGCCATGGTTGAGCATCTGGGCCTGCAACATATTAGCTGGCTACGTAATTAAATACTCTTCCGTGCCAGTAGGTGGCAGTAGGTAGCACGATAATGACCGTGGTGATTAAGACAGTAGAATTAAGAGATGCACCGAGGTTGCGGTGACAAGACGTTTGTCCGGATTCAGGTAAGCGATTTTCTGGCTGCTCTTGGACGGACGCATGGCGGAGTAATACTCGTCCTTCCGAAAGAAACGAAAAGGTATCAGTAGTTGGGATCGGTGGTAAGGACTTGGAGGTGCTGGTGATGTCTGCTCAGGTGGGGAGTGGCTGTTTGGGTGCAGCGACGGAGCTTGTTTAGCAATTCCCAGGAGATGTGGGGATTGCGTGTGGATGGCTCGATAATTGGGCGAGGTTCATGTGGTTACCGGTGGTCGATAGCCTGTGTTGTGTTGAATGGAAAGGCAGGAGCGAGGGAAGAGGAAAAGATCCTGGGATGAAAGGATGTATGTGCATGGGTTGGAAATGCAGATTGGGGAAAAGAGGCTGCAGGGTGCGATATCCCTGATGCAGAGAGAGTAAGGAGGGGGTGCGATACGGACTGGCCCTCTAGAGGGGCTGGTGTGAGTGACCGGGCTTGTCTGGGCGTCGATGTAGCGGTCGGCGCTGGTGGCTCGGCAATCGAGGGAGGTGTAGTGCCGAGCGGCCGTGAGCAGTTTGAAGAGTTTGCTTTTCTGTCGGACTGGTGGAAATGGATGTTGAGCTGGGTGAGTGCATACTTCAGTCGAGAGACTGTCCACTCTGAAATGCGGGATGTATGGGGCCATCGGAGCGTTGGCGTGGGGGAGAAGGGTCGCTGTGGTTTTGGCCGTTGCTCAAGCGGCTGGATCTCGAGGGGGTGGAAGAGCGGCGTTGTGGAGGGACGATGTCTCTCGGGGATCTCCTGCTGGAATTGTCTGCTGGCGGAGCTGTGGAAAGAAAACCAACCCCGAGCTGCTCCCTTAGCTGTGCCATATACCTACCTGTTCTGTTGTTGGAGCGGTCTGTGCAGCTGGGGTAGCCGCTAGAGGTGGGAGGAGTTAGCCGAAGTTGGCCGAGATGGGTGGAACCTGGAAGGTAGAAGTAACAGAACATGAAAGGATGCCAGGATGGGGGGATGGATGTGCCTGGGTTAATCGTGAAGTTAAGGGGAAAACATTGCGAGGAGATGTCTCTGGCACGGGGGGAGCTTGACGGCCAGAGTCAGTATGGCATGGGACGACTTAAGGCAGGACGCAGTCGACTGCCCTTCTCTAAACATATCTAAGTTGAGGCCGACAGCAGACTGGAAGCAGCAGCCTAACTTACACTAAAACACCTTCTCCTGAACACCGTATATCTGACTCCCGCATGCGTTTTGACAGATATTTAATCGTGGCTCGTCTTGAAGAGGATCTATTCATAGCCTTGGACCTGGTCTCATTACCCTAATAGTGTACTTATTGGCCGTATTAAAATCAGATTAAAGATTCACAATCAGAGTGTACAACCTGGCCCTCTGGAGGGACTGATGTAGATGGATGGTCTTCTTCCGCTGCGTCATGACGTCATCGGCACACGCCTGACAAGGCGCCGGGAACCCAGAAGTGCTGTGGAGGCTCGGAGCGCGAGAGGGGTGTTGTGCTACAGGTGCTTGAAAAGTTTGGAAAGTTGCGCTTTGCAACAGACTGTTGCGTTGGATGATTGCTTTCTTCGTTTGAGAGACTGTCCACTCGAAGAAGTGGAATATATAGAGACTGTCGGGGCCTCGGAATGGCGAAAGAGGGTCACGGTGGTTTACCGGTCATTCGAGCGCCTGGAACTCCGGCTGTCGGGAGAGTGGCGTGGGTGAAGAATTGAGAGGATTGGGGTCGAAGGATGGGGTTGTTGGAGTTCCACGCCTTCCGGGCTGTTGGAAGGCGGGGCGGACGGCTTCGGAGTTGACAGAGGATGGTTATCGAGGGCTGCGGGGAATGTGGATGGCTAAACGCAGCCGAAGTTGCTAGCGGCGAGCGTGGTGAGAAAAAGAGGGAGCTTCGGGATATGGCTGGTCGTCCGGAAGGGTTGAGGAGAGCCTTTGTGAAAGGTAAGCGGTTTTAATATGTTGTTTGTCTGTCGTGCCTCGAGTTGAAGTGTATGAAAGCTGAGTCAGGGAGCGTTGCTCGTCTGTCTTGCGTCGTATGAAAGCTTGAAGCTGAGTCGGAGAGCGTATGCTCGTAGGGGACGAGGTAGGAGCGTGGGGTAGGGATGGAGCGTTGCTCGTCTGCTGAGTCAGAGAGTGTTGCTCGTCTGTCTTGAGTCGTATGAAAGCTGAGTCAGAGAGCGTTGCTCGTCTGGATGTGGGGTGGGGGTAGAGGGGTGTAGGTAGAGGGGTGTAGGGATGGAGCGTCTGCTGAGTTAGAGAGCGTCTGTCGTACGTCATGTGAAGACAAGAGTCGAAGAGGGAGTGGACGAGTTCGTTGTGCTTAAATACTCTGTGCAGAGGACATGAGCGGTGTTCTGGGCGTGGCCCTGTTCCTGAACAAACTCTATAAAACTACATTTCTTTCTAATGTGTGAACCAGGAGGGTTGTAACCGCTTGTGTAGCCTGCCATTCCTCTGAATGTCGGAATGGAAATACCAAAGATGTGCCACACAATTCTCACATTTCCAGTGTCAGATTGAATTTGAAAATGTCAGCTGTGGTTTGATTGAGTGATTTCTCAAACGCAAAGTTCACATGCATGCACATACACACACGACCTTTGGATGGTTACCCTCAGTCTTTTTCCAGTGAGGGTCCTGGGGTAATGACTATGTGCTGAAGGGTTATGGCTGTGGGTTCATTGGGTTTCTGGGCACTTCATGTCTTACAGTGTCCTGATAATAAATGCACGGCTCTCCTCTGTTTTGGTCTTGTTCAGGAAGATCTTCAGATAGACGACAGGCACCATCACACAGGGGGTCTTTGGGGTCTCTCAGCCCTGTTTTGGTTTCAAGTCCAGAGCTCAGCTCTTTAAAGTGATGGTGTGGATGTT